CAGCTGAGAGTGGAAAGTGAGACAAGAATTCCATTGATATACTTAAGTCTAAATCTAAAGGCTTGAGAACCAGATGAGCTGATAACTCCCAAAGAGAAGCCAAAAGACTGCAAATCAATGGTAGAGCTTGTGTAGGTCCCTGGTCCATAGCCCTGAGGACCAGACACTGATGTTCAAGGACAGGAAAAGATGGTCATACCAGCTCAAAAAGAATAAGTACATGCAGCCTGAAGGTAAACAAAGTAAAACTAAATATGAAATGTAGTTTCTAATGTTTTAAAATATATGGAATGTTCATTATAAACTCTTAGCAGACCCATGTTTCGTTGATCCATTCTTTTATTATTCCCATTAAGCCAAAGAGAATTTATCTCTTTTTGACTAATTTTTATAATGATAAAATGGAAGCATATGCTGTGTGGTACAATCTTTCTTTTGTTTGGAGTTATTATCCTTCAGTAGTTTCAATTCAACATGTCAGTTTGTGAGTACAATGCATATTAATGTGTCACCCCTTTCATCATTCTCCTCCTCTCTCCCAATCCTATCCATTCCCTCAATTTACCTAGTTCCATTTTCACATATGTACATTGATATTATAACTCTCCCTTACTTCCTCCCACCTTGCATCTGTTCCAGCTTCCTGTAGGGCCATATGCATATATACATAAACATGTTAACTAAAGTAAAGCATATATGGAGAGGATTCCAGTGGTATAACTCCTTTGAATAACTAAACATTTAACATAATGGTAACATCTTTCTTCTACTTTTTTAAAAAGCAAAACAAATGAGAAAGTAGATGTCTGAGAAGCCTGGAAAAATTCCTTCATCAATGGTGAAAAACAGAATCAGCAGTAGAGACCAAGGACATCTTAAAAACACATGTCCTATTGCCAATGTGAATTTTTCCTTTATCTGAAAAAGAATGGTCTTTAAGGAACAGTCACTTGTTCATCAAAAATGTATGTGCAGAAGTTTCAACCAAGGAATGGAATTAAAGCAGGAAATCATAATGATTTTCATTTTCTCTGTGTCATAATAAGTAATGAATTCTCCTTTATAGTGTTTCTGTTACCCACTGAAGGAAGTTTGCCTTTCATTTTTTTAAATTTCAAAATCAACCAAAATGAGAAATCATTAAGACCAATTGATTATAAAGAAGGCAGTTTCTAAAGTCTTCGAAACAATTGATAGTATGTGTGTATGTTGTGTGTGTTGTGTGTATATGTATATGTGTTGTGTGTTTGTGTGTGTACATGTGTGTGAACTAGAACTCGGGGCCTGGGAACTGTCCCTTAGCTTTTTCACTCTACCACTTGAGCCACAACTCCACTTCCAGCTTCTTGATGATTAATTGGAGTTAAGAGTCCTCATGGACTTTTCCTATCCTGACTGGTTTTGAGTTAGAGTCTTCAGATCTCAGCTTCTGGTATAGCTAGAGTCACAGACATGAGCCACCAGAGCCCAACTACATCTATGATATTTTGCACAGCAAAACTTTTCTTTGTGTACTCCATTTAAGTGAAAGAGGACTTCGAAAAAAAGTCAAAATGAAATAATCCTCCCAACATAACTCTGAGAAGAATTAGATAATACGTATTTTTCCTGACACAGTCTTCTTAAATGATTAAATTACTTTATACTACTTTCATTAACACAAATATTTTTGAATTTTGACTCATTCATCTTCTGACTTATAAAAGGAAATATTTAAATAAGACCTGACAGAAAGGGAAATTTCTCTGATCACTGTTTCCATGTCCCTAAACCATTTTCTAGGTCCATATGTTTACAATGTCGACTTTCCACTAATGGCAGTGGGTTTAAGTGATTAAGACAAATGCTAAAGAAGGCTTATCAGTGTGTCTTCAGCAAGGGGGATCTCTCAAGAAAAGGGCTTGTCCACTTGCTATGGTTTTCCTAATGCCATCCTTGACTTCCTTGTTCCTCAGACAGTAGATGATAGGGTTGAGCATGGGAGTGAAGACTGCATATATTGCTGAGATCAGTTTGTTAGAATTAAATGAAGCAATGGCCCGAGGTCGGACATACATGAAAATCACAGCAGTGTAGAAGATGATGACCACTGTAAGATGAGATGCACAGGTGGAGAAGGCCTTTTGCTGTCCAGTGGCTGAGGGTATGTGTAAGATGGTAGAGATGATGAAGACGTAGGAAAGGACAGTGGCTGAGAGAGGAAACACAAGTATGACAATTGCTAGCACAAAGTCTACTATCTCTGCCATAGATAAGTTCATGCAGGCCAGTTTGAGAATAGGTGACACGTCGCAGAAAAAATGATTTAAGATGTTATTGCCACAGAAAGAAACCTGGGAGATAAAGTAAACTTTGGCCATGGAGATGGTGAAGCCACTAACCCAGGAACTAATAGTCAGCTGTACACAAAAGCCTGTGGTCATCATGACAGGATAGCGAAGCGGACA